CGGAGTCCATCAGACTCCATCGAATCTCATAGGATCTTTTATTTTACCTTCTGAGTACACCACATCAGGTGACTCCAAGTGACTTCACAAGACTGGGATCCCATCTAGTCTGCTATTTCTCTAGTGGGCTCCACCCTATCACCTGATTCCACCTCATCAATTAACTCCAACGCATCAAGTGACTTCACTTGACTCCACTTGACTCCAAATGACTCCATGCGTCTGGAGTCCGCTGTTTCCCCCTTGGTTAAAAGTCACCGAGATCTGAGATAAGAAAAAGGTGATGTTTTCAGAAAAAATTCATTTTCTCAAAAACTATCAGGACACTTTTAGCGTACATTCCATATCTAGGTAGCTCCATATGGTCGAACAGTTTCTGTTACAACATGTTCGGATCAGCCGGCGCACAGGTTTCAAGATTCGCACAGACCCTCCAGAAGTCAATTTATTTCTTCCTGCGCTCAAAAGGTGGAAATGTGAAATTTATGAAATCTAAATCAGTTTTCGATGTTGAATCCAAAAATATGATTAAAAGTTTTGTGAAATGTCTATAGTTCAAAAACTAGAAACCTAGTTTTCTAGAAAATGCTTAGAAACACAACATATTCCAAAAGATATTTTATTTATTCTGAAAGATAGACTAAACAATTCTGACATTCGCGAAATAAATCGGTATCGATTATGCGTTATATGAATAGTAGATTTTATTTCACTTATTCACAAAAACTACTCTTCAGAGCGTGTGCGTTTGTAATCTCTGGAGAGGAGATATTAGTTAACATCATAATTTAATGCCATATAATACAGCTTGGGATTGGTGCATAATTATGTGGAAATTGATCTCTTAGTTGTCTTTTTATCCTAGCATGCTGAATACTTACCATTCCTCTCTTTTATGATGATGATGATGATGTTCCTCACCATAGGGCTGCTGTTGTTGATAACCGGGATTGCCGAACTGAGACTGGTAATCGTAATTCATTTGATTTTGCCCGTAACCTTGATCAAATTGTGGTTGTTGATATGGATAACCTCCTCCTTGCTGCCCATAATTTCCTGCATAATTCATCGGTCCACCTGGAAATCCTTCTTGTTGCCCATAATTTCCTCCGTAATTCATTGGTCCACCTGGACCTACTCCACCCGGACCATATTGTTGTTCGGCAAGATGATGTGCTTGTTGTACTGCTTGTCTTTTCGCTCTTTCACGATCAATAAAGTCCAAACCTTTTGTCTCGATTAATCGATCAACTTCAGCTGCAGCAAACCCCGCTAATAGTTCTTTCATAAACGGATGTGACACTTGTTCTCCGGTACGTCGTACATGGTCTTCATAGGCTTTCATCGCTGAACAATAAAAAGAACAAGTTCTTGAAATTTATGTTCGTTTTTCTTTAATTAATTACCAGCAAAACCAGCTGCTCCACCAATCAGCTCATGTGTCCATGAGGCTTTGTGTTTTTCGTGACCATAATAAATTTGCTGATGCGCATTTTCACTTTCATTCGTACCCAACAAATTTTTCAAGAATTCCATCTTTAAACAGTGTAACCTACGATGCAGAAGTAATGCCATACATATCAAGTCTTGCTGTACTTGATGGAAAGATATTCGAAATTTAATTCTTTTCCCATGAGATACGACACGTTTTCTACTTTAAAAAAGCATATTTCAAAAACATTTTATTTCACAGTTTGTATCATTAACTATTCCATTTTCAATAAAAGCCTCAAAGAACATCTGTAAGCTGCAGAGCTCTTGTTCTTGTTTGAAAACACAATATCTCAACTTAGAATAAATATGAGAAGCTCAGTTCTTTAAGTTGTAGGCTAGTTAAACCTGACTTTTAGAATAATCACTTCAAAACTTAAAGGAATTCCGTGGTAACGAGTACAAATGCTTAAGATAAACACCCACGAGTCTCTCATTCTGTTAAAAATTCCATCCTGTAAGGTTTTTTTATCAATAACTATTGTGATACAGTCTGAAAGATACAGATTCTTACGGGCACCAAAAACATCTGTAAAACTTCGAACAAACTATTTAGTTAACTATTCAAATTAGTAAATATCCTGCGAGAAAATGCTCGGCGATGATTTTTGTCATTATCAAAAATAATTATTTTAACTACCAGTTTGTCAAATACTATATGAAGTCAATTCTTCGCTGTTTACCTTCGATTTGTAGAAAAACAGATTCAACTTTTCAATCAAATTATCAATTGTCAGTAGAATAAATTGTTTTTACATGAATAGTGTCATCATTGCACAGTAAATAGTCTGTCTAAAAGTATCAATTCAATATAACACAGCCCAGCTTGACATACAGCATTTGAATAGAAAAAAACAGTAGAATCTTTATAATCGTAAGTATTTTTCTTCTCTTTTCTTGACGTTACTTTTTTTTATTCCGCGATTCAAAGAAAAAGTGAAGTTAACAATTTCTTCCATTTCTATCCTGAATGAATGCATCAAACAAACACAGTTCTGAGTCACTAAATACAAGGCGATTAAAGGACTGAGAGAAAAATATACACAACAAAAAAATTGAAATATGGTTTGATTTTAAATAGTTACTGTTAATAATCAAACAAATTACATTTCAATTTTTTTGTTATGTATAGTTTCTCTTATTCCTTTAATTGCTTTGTGTTCAATGACTCAGAACTGTGTTTGTGTCATGCATTCATTCCGGATAGAAATGGCTGTCAACTCTTTTTTCTGGAATCACGAAACAAAAAGCAGTAACATCAAGAAAAGAGAAGAAAAATACTCACGGTTATAAAGATTCTACTGTTTTTTTCCATTTAAATGCTGAATGTCAAGCTGGACTGTGTTATATAGAATTGATATTTGTAGAAAGACTTTGATGATAATAATTGGTAATAGCAACAAATTGGTAGTAATTAGTGGATCGGAATCTTGCAAAATTTTCAAGTTATTAAGTAGAGACTCTAAAGCAAGAAACGGATGGACGATTCCTCACAAAAATCGTAGGTGTTTAGGCCGGGTACGTCAGGGATACAGATATAGAGATATTGAGGCATGCCTAATTGCTGTAACTTCGGTATAAAACATTCGAATTACTTCGAACTTTCTTAATAATAAGAATGGCGGTATGTACAATGTCTAATTTTCCATTTTGATACTAAACTACAAGCCTAGTAATGTAAGATACAGACAGGACTTTTGGAATAAACGGACGCAGCTTCTTTTGTGGTGCTTGATTGTGCACTAATATGGCACAGATATTATTTTATTTCTTTAAATATACTGGAAAGCTTTCGAATCAAACCCATTCATAATCAGTATAGTCTAAAAAATTTTTACAATCAAACAAAAGTAAGATAAACGTAATTCAAACTTACAGTGAAAATTATTTTCGAACCTATCATACTTGTACCGTTGGATAGAGAACCTGCATGGCTCAAAAGCGAAACACAATTTTGACAGCCTATCCAGTTTTTTGAAGGAGGTCGTCGAGCAAATATTTACACGTGGCTAGATTCACTAGATGCTCGTCTCCAAAGTTACCAAGAGTTTTTTCAAGAGCTTTTGCACACTGAGAAAATTCATTTTTTCTAGATTATAAGCGAAAAACTCGGAATTCTGCCCGTTATTCGCATTTTTCTCCATCAAAACTCATTTGTTGTGCAGTAAAATACCATATTGAGGATCGCCATCAAAAACTGAGTTGAATGATACATATTTCAAAACTTTTCGTTGAATTGCACTTTTTCGAATTTTCACGGCGAAAAATTACTGAGATTTTCACGAAAAAATGAACTTAACTTAAATATAGGTCTACTATATATGTATATAGACACACGCTTTTTGCAAAATAACTTGAAACCTCTACAGCATATTTAAATAAATAAAATAAACATCTGTGCCATACTAATACATCATTACAATCATATTAAAAAACTTCATTATAAATTAATTAAGTTAAACAAATAATTTATTTATTATTAATCTCAACAAAAATTAAAACTGAAATGTCGTACCAATGAACACTCACGATATCTTTTATCCAAGTTTTCGTCTTTCATAATCGAAAAATACACATCGAATTTGGAATGTTAAAGTAACGTTAATTAACATTATATTGAATAACGGTCATCGATGCTGGTAATAGAAGACCTTTTAAAAATTTTTGAAAGAAAAACGATTTAGATTTAGGTAAAGATAAACATCATTACTCTCATGCTGAGAACAAAAATTAAACGATTTTTTTCTCTCTATTTTATAAACAAACTTTTTCTCTCAAATTAATGTACACATTTTTTAACCTATTCGTTAACCCTTTTCTCCCGAAGGGAATTGTTGGAAGATCCAGAAAATATGACTGCTAAAATGGATCTCTTGAGTACTCTCTATGCTCATTCCATACGTAAATTAAAATGAAGTTGCCTAGGTCCCAAACATACAGAATGTTGACAGGCGTGGATATTAGAGGCGCACAAGATGAAAAACGCAGTTGTTTTCTGGGTGTTGTTTGAACTTGTTTTTTCAGCATTTAGTATTTTGACAAAAACTAGGTCATATTCGGAATCAGGAGCAAAACTGGGTCGAATGACATGCGTCTCAGGGTTTTAATAATATTGGAGTTTGAGTGAAAATTTTGATTTTGGAGTTTTGGAAAAAACGAAAAGCTTGCATAAAAAAAGCAAAGATATTTTATTACTGGGCACAATGCTTCAAAGCAACCTGACAGAAAATTTCTTTTCTTATATAATTATAGAAAGAATCCTTATAGCAACAGTAATCAATCACTACATGTAAAAACTTTTGTGTGGTTAAATCTGTGGAAAAAGTTCTTAAAAAGCTTCAATAATTTGTATCTCTTAGTTTTAAAAGTTGATTATCTCGGTCCATAGAAAGAAAACTTTCTTTTGACTAATCGAAAGTTGATGAAGTGTTTCAAGTTGTAACACAATCCGGTTTTGTTACAATGCTTCGCTATTTCTGCATATCGATTTTATCAGTATCCACGCCTGTGGACATCCGGGGCTAAAGGGTTAACAATAAGACAGATGTTCGTATCTTTTGATTCTACCAGAACATTCAACAAAAATTCCTCTTATTAATATTAGCATTATACCGAACACACTAAACCAATTTTTGTGTTCGTAGTTTTACGTAATTCCAGGATTTGTTCTCTATTTCAAGAGTTAAAGCGACAAACAAAATCCAAAAATATTAAAAGCTACTTTTTAACCACTATTCTTGAGATAACTCTGAAATAACTGAAGATTTCACGCTCTAACTTTTCCTCTAATCTAAGCTATGTAAGACTAACATTCTATTAAAGTTTGGTGAGAATTTCATTGAAGGTAGCTTTCTAACAGGGACAAGGCCGAAACGTATTGAACGCCGCGAACTGAAATGGATAAAACACCACTACCACTAGCAACGATATCATTCATGCTAGAAACAATCAAAATTATCAAAACACTCTTCGTTAACTTGTTTAAACGCATTTTTATTTTGTCACACTTAGGATGATTAAGAATACTTAAAAATAGTCAATGACGGATTATGAATTAGAAAATATTTTTGCTATCGTAGCTAAGAAAAACAAAGAAAAAATCTCAGATTTTTAAGTCAAATATTTGACGTATAATGGTAATTCTACTTAAATGATCTAATTGTCTTGTTTGCTCTATATATGTGAAGAGCCATTATAAATGGTGTAACGTCATGGTGCTGTCTGATCGAAGTAACAACCTTTTTTCAAGTTTTCTAATAGAAAGCTTTCTGGATAACTCATTTATATGACAAGAATAAAGAACTATGAGATTTAATTACCATTAAAATTTTCATATAGCCAAAGACAGAGTGTCCTTTCGATTCGTCCTTAATTGATTTCTCAATTTGTTCCTCATAAATTTTTACTCTCAATTCGTTCCTACTGATTTCGTGCCTTAAATTTTGTCCCTCACATGCACGCATAGTGTAAATTATCCAGCTTTTAGATTTATTTAATAAACTTCGTATAAAAAGAACAACAATAATAGTTTGGCTTTCTGGAGTTGTGGGTGAGTGGTGAATGAAACGAATATCGTCACGATGATCATCGTAGTCGATTATCTATGGTCTATATGTTTCTAAGATTCTCAGACGTGTCTGCAACGAGATAGGTGTGTCCTCGGAAAATGTCTGTGCCTCCGGAAGCAAAGGAGATGAAGATCTAGGCCTTGAGTAGTTTTGAAGAGAAATGTTTTGACTGTTGATTGCTATTATTCGAGATTGGATGTCATGGTGCGGTTTGGGAACAGTAAGCTTTCGATTTTGTCTCGAATGGTAAAACACGGTAAACCTCATCGAACATCCTGAGTTACGC